ACTGGGAAGCAAGTAAAGTGAAGCAGCAAAATATCCAGCACAAATTTTCCAATTTCAAAGTTGAAATAAGATGGTGATGAAAACTAATTCTCACATAAGTTTAAAATTGAGTATGTGTTGATACCACAGCTTTAGCGTATTTCATCGCTATTCACATCTGACAGTATACCAACAATTCATTTCAAATGTTATGGTAAACTTCCTCCAAATGCTTGCTCAATAATTGCCAGATGATGTATTCTTCGGCAGGGCAAATGCTCAGGAGAGCTAAATAAAACTACGCATACTGTATTGGTAGAATATGGGCGTTTTTACTCGATCTATCAATTTCCTCAACCTTTCATTACGAACAGTTAGCCTTTTTAGCATCCAAACTAACCTTCTCTTTGTCGATATTAGGGGTGAATTGCCGACCGAAAACGATATCAGGTGGTGCACGTCTAATTCCTTCAACCCGCTTTGGTTGATATGCTACCTTTACTCCAAACCTAAAAACATTCTTTGAGAGAGTTGATAGTAGTCGAGAAAAGTAATCAACTCACGCTTTCAAAAATTGATTCATGCTTCCAGAATTATGAAGATTAAGGGCTTCCAACAACGAATGAATTTTTTTGCGACGGATGTTGGGTTTATCAGCACGTGGTATCTAAACAATCTCTGAACGTGTCTTCAACGAAGCATTCGAAAAAAATGAGACAAACAGAATTCGTAATTTGCTGCTTCTCTAGAGAAACTCGCTGGTCTGGTGCAACTTCCAGCAATTCCATTGGGAAGAATTGGATGCAGTTGCCACTGCGCTTTTTTACCGCTGGCCAATCGGGATTAAGAGGAACACGGGTATCTGAGAACTTCGTCAGAACTTTCACTTTGGTTCCAGCACTATAAACTTATTTTGCACTTTATGCTAGAATCATACTGAATTTAAACTTACCTCAATTCATCTTCCAGGTCCTTTATTGGCTGATCACTAATTCCTATTGCCACAAAACTGAGCGGGTTTGTGCCGCTCCCAACA